GCAAAAAGAGCTAGCTGGCTGGCTGATAGCGGGCAAGGCTCTTGCCGCTGGGCAGAGAGACGACGGGACGCATGCGGGCACACCCACTGGGACCTTCGGTGGAGCTCCCTATGGGGCCACGAAACGTGTGAGGGGTGTGCCGAAATGGGTGTGCGGGACGCATGCGGGCACACCCACTGGGACCTTCGGTGGAGCTCCCTATGGGGCCACGAAACGTGTGAGGGGTGTGCCAAATGAGTGTGCGGGACGCATGCGGGCACACCCACTGGGACCTTCGGTGGAGCTCCCTATGGGGCCACGAAACGTGTGAAGGGGTGTGCCGAAATGGGTGTGCGGGACGCATGCGGGCACACCCACTGGGACCTTCGGTGGAGCTCCCTATGGGGCCACGAAACGTGTGAGGGGTGTGCCGAAATGGGTGTGCGGGACGCATGCGGGCACACCCACTGGGGCCTTCGGTGGAGCTCCCTATGGGGCCACGAAACGTGTGAGGGGTGTGCCGAAATGAGTGTGCGGGACGCATGCGGGCACACCACTGGGACCTTCGGTGGAGCTCCCTATGGGGCCACGAAACGTGTGAGGGGTGTGCCGAAATGGGTGTGCGGGACGCATGCGGGCACACCCACTGGGACCTTCGGTGGAGCTCCCTATGGGGCCACGAAACGTGTGAGGGGTGTGCCGAAATGGGTGTGCGGGACGCATGCGGGCACACCCACTGGGACCTTCGGTGGAGCTCCCTATGGGGCCACGGAACGTGTGAGGGGTGTGCCGAAATGGGTGTGCGGGACGCATGCGGGCACACCCACTGGGACCTTCGGTGGAGCTCCCTATGGGGCCACGAAACGTGTGAGGGGTGTGCCGAAATGGGTGTGCGGGACGCATGCGGGCACACCCACTGGGACCTTCGGTGGAGCTCCCTATGGGGCCACGAAACGTGTGAGGGGTGTGCCGAAATGGGTGTGCGGGACGCATGCGGGCACACCCACTGGGACCTTCGGTGGAGCTCCCTATGGGGCCACGAAACGTGTGAGGGGTGTGCCGAAATGGGTGATGACGATGATGATGAAGATGGGAGGAGGGAGGGGGCAGCGGGAAGGAAGGAACGCGGGGCGCTGTCTCTTCAAAACGAGGACCCAACACCACAGGATGGTTGGGAATGAGGCGGCTGAGACGGAGGTGGAAGATGAGGCGAACGAGGAGAAGGTTCTTATTGAAAACCGCCACAAAAGGATTCTTGGCGAAACCCTCCACAGCAGGACTCCGAGTGAAACCCTTCACAAGAAGGAGAAGTAGGCGGATAAGGAGGAGGGTAAGGAAACATCAGGCGGATGAGGAGGAGGAAGGAGGAAATCCTCCACAGAAAGGTTCCTATCCTCCACATAAGGATTCCGACTGAAAGCATCAACAGAAGGATTCGCGTTGAAACCCTTCACAACAAGGAGACTTAGGCGGATGGGAAGGAAGAGAAGGAGGAGTATGAGGCGGATGACGAGGAAGAGGAGGAGGAGGAGGATAATAACCTCCACACATCGATTCCCAATGATCGGTTGCAACGCAATCGATTGTATTGCAATGCGCTGCCATCGATTGAAGCCGCTTCGCGTTGAAGTGCTTGGAATGCAATCGACTAGGTTGCGTCTGACAACGTAGCAACACATAATCAAGAAGAGCAGGAGGAGGAAGGGAGGGAATGACTGGAGGGATCAATGGAGCATGTGTATGACAGGAGGAGGAGGAGGACAGGGATGAAAACGAGGAGGAGGAGGAAGACCAGAGGGAGATGAATAGGGGAAAAGGAGGAGAAATGATGAGGGGAGAGGATGGAGAGGGAGAGGAGGAGGAGGAGGACGAGGATGGGGGGAAGGATGCTTAGGATGAGGAGAAAGAAGGCCACATGTATGATCATAGAGGGGACGAGCATATGTATATATGCATATGTGTATACATACATATATAGGTATATGGTACACACTTGCTTAGGTATCAACTGAAATGGTGTTGCGTAGGTGTACGCGGTAAGCGCGCAGATAATGACGCGGAAGTGCCCATTTTTATTTACGCGCCAGCGGAATTCCGGACGATACCTATCAGCTTCGGGATGTCACAGTAAGCGTTTCGGGGGGGAGGGGCGCCGATGTCGGCCAGATTCGAGGTCCCCCAAAGGCTGGACATCCTCGTGTTCCCCGCTGCCACCACTCCGAACACCACCGTCGAAAACTTGCTCCCGCGTGCACAGATCCATGCGTTTATTCGTATAGCGCACGTGAAGACCGTGGCTGTACATATGCGTCGCTATGCCTGGTTCACACCCTATCTTCATACCCTATCTCTTGTTCCGATGCTGGCTGGCACTAATGCCAGCCAACATCGAAACAGGAAAGGGGAGGAGCAGGGGGGAAAAGTGGGTGGGGAGTGGGGGGATTGGGGGGGGATGGGAGAGGAAGGGGAAGGGTGAGGGAGGGGGAAGGAGGGGAAAGGAGGGGAGGGAGACAGGAAAGACGGGAAGGAGGCAAGCTAGGTGCGCCCGCACCACATCTGACATCCGATCCCTCCCTCACATCCCTTCCTACTGCGCTGTAGATATCTGCGGACGCGTGCCATGGCCGATCTGGAACTCCAAAAAAGACCCCATCGTTTGATGCGCAGTCGAAGTAGGGGAGCTGCGCAAGTAGAAGGAGAAACAGGTGGCGGGTGCGCAGGAGGAGGAGCAGGAGGAAAAGGAGGAGGAGGAGGAGGAGGAAAGAGGAGGACGAGGACGAACCGCAGCAGCAGCAGCAGCAGCAGCAGCAGCAGCAGCAGCAGTAGAAACTGGAGCGGAAGGAGCGGGAGAGGCAGGAGGGCCAGGGGAAGGCGAAGGAGGTGCAACGAGGGGAGCGACAACGACGACAACGGACTCGGATACAGCAAAGTTCGGGCCGGGCGAAAGGGGGGGATAGCAAAGGAGGGCGTTTGAGAATCACTTCGCGTAGCTGATTTTCTCGGCGCCTCGGGAGGCGCCCATGTATCGAGGAATGGTCTGGTCCCCTCGGTGGGGCCGAAACCAGCTGCATGCAGCAAATTTCGTAGTCCCCCCTTTCCCAATCAATCCCCCCCTTTCGTCCGGCCCGAAAAGTGTCCCGCGCTGGGGTGAGAGCGCAATCCTGAACGACGAGAACAAAGCCAAAAGTGCCGCTCCAAAAGTCAGGCTCCCGCTGCAGCGGGAGCACAGTCTGGAAGCACCGAGAGCAGTCGGAGTGCCAATAAAGCATCAGCGACCTATCTGTTGTCCAATCCAGGGTGTGAGGATTGCACGCAGGGAGAAGGCCAGGCGTCTCCAGGATACAGAGTCAGGGGAGGGAGGAGAATGGCACTCGTGTTGAGACGAATCGTCCAAGGAAGGGAAGGCGGGATCAGAAAGGGGGACGGGGAGAATGAGGGGGAGTCGAGGGGAGGCGAGGGGGAACACGGACGACAACAAAGAAGAGGGGGAAGAGAAACGACAACGAAGTATGATTGTCCAGGGGAAGGTGGGGGGAGAGGAAATGGGGGACGGGGAGAATGAGGGGGAGGGGAGGGGAGGGGAGGGGAGGGGTAAGGCGGACGGCAACGAAAAAGGGGGAGGAAGATAAACAAAAAGGGGAGAACGGTATGAGGAAGAGAGCACCACGAGGAGGTTTTGTTTGCAATGCCCTGTGGGTGGTGCAAGCAAGGCGGGGAAGCCTAGCTCCCGTGCACGCGCATTACATGAAATTATCTAATGAATTGCGCGGTCAAGCGTGCAAAACGATATTCACCATCCGTATCATCCAAACTGCCACGCTGAAACCTCCACACTGGCAGACTGAAATTCCACCACGCCAGTGACAGGTCTGACGAGGCCGTCACCGGGTAGAGGCGGTCATGGCCCATGCACGGGGGATACACGGTTGCAGTGCGTCATGGTCTACGCAACATTGGTGTAGATGCCTTCATTTTGTGCAGTGTGGGGCCGGACCACATACCTACGAAAACACAATACGCGGATGGGGAGCGGATAAGCCGGGCCTCCGCAGGAGGGTAGCATCGAACTCTTCTCGGCCCAGAAGTCTTCGCCCTGCGGTCTGTGTGGTGCAGTCCGTGGGGCCGGGCGAAGCCTGGAGACCCCGGCCGACGCGCAGTGCGGCGACGAAGCGGCGACGTGCAACGACCAGGCGAGACCACGGCAACGCCAGCCAGCACTCGGCGACGAGGCGGCGACCGGCCGCGGCTGGGCGAAGACCCCGAAAAAACATCGGCCGGCACCCGGGGCGGCGGCGAGGCGGCGGCGGGCAACGGCCGGGCGACAGCGCGGAAAGGCCAGCTGGTGCTCGGCGGCGAGGCGACGACGCTCGAAGACCAGGCGACAGCAAGGATGCGCCGGCCAGCGCGCGAGGCGGCGACGAGGCGGCGACCGTGCGAGAGCCTGGATCCGCCACTCGGCTCTGCTGTCTCAGAGAACAGACATTCCACCCTCATAAGTATCGCCCCGACGCGCGAAACAGTTTAGTAAACGCACCCAATGAATGAATCGAACGTGGCAGGGCTGTCTAGTAAACGCCCAAGGACGTTTTGTGAGCACCAATTATCGGGTCCAGGTTGTTGTTGTTCCTCCCTTGACGTTAAAGGAAGCGAGTACCCCTTAGTGCAAGCATAGTCTGGGGGAAGTGATGGACGAAACCGCTGGCGGGCTAAAACACGCCAAGGCATGATGATCCAGCTCGTGATCGATTGCCTTGACTCTTCCATGCCAAGCGGCTGCAGTTCGATTGCTGGGGCCTGTGCTGTTAATTACCTGAACAGTGTGGATTGTGCAAATGATGCTAGCGAGTGAAAACGGTGTCCTGCGAACGTGGCCAAGACTCAGGCCCCAGACGCGGAGGGAGGGGGAAGAGGCAAGACTTGCGAATGCGCAACACATTACCGACCAAATACATAGCTTGGGACTCCGCCAAAGGCGACTGCGATGCTGCCACAGTGCGGCGGCCACTCCCCCCGGGGCACGCCTGTAGTTCCTGGTGAAGAAGCTGACGAACCTCAGCGGACCGGCCCGATAAGAAGATGAAAAAGAGTAGGAGTAGGAGTAGGAGTAGGGGTCGGAGTAGGAGTAGGAGTAGGAGTAGGAGTAGGAGTCAAGCTAGCCAGCTCGAGCGAGTCAAGCATGACATGCCCATTCCCACCCGCCCTCCCACAACATAAGAAACAGTGCTGGCGCATCTGGGGACCGAAATCAGATCGGCAAGGTGGTTTGCCACAACTGATGCAGCCGCGATGGCGGTTACCGATACGAAATCCCTGGCGCGTCTGAACAACTACGCTGGCATGTCAGCACGAGCCGAAGAGGCCCCAGGAAGCCTCAAAAGGCCCCAGGAGACCTCAAGAGAAGCCCTAGCGACCCACAGGAAGCCCCAGGAGGCTTCCGGAGTGCCCAGGAAGCCCCAGGTGATTCCAGGAGGTTTCAGGAAACCCTAGGAAGTGTCAGGAACCCCCCACGGAATCCCAGGAAGGCCCAGGATGCCTCAGGAGGCTCCAGGAGGATCCACGAGGCCCTGGGGAAACCCCAGCATGTCCCAGGAGACCCTGGGAGGCCCCAGGGGGCCCTAGGCGCTCGACGAATTGGCGAGCGAAAAATGTGCGCCGCGCCGTAGCGGGAGCGCATCTTTCAGAAAACATGCGCGCGGCGCCAAAGCGAGAGCGACATTTTGCCCTGTAGCGCGCGATGTGCACCGCGCCCCGCTCCTGCCACGATTTCGCAAAACCGACGACAAGAGAATCCCGACTGAGAAAAACATGTCGACGTTGTATGGTTTTTGACAGGTAGGATGGCCCCTCCCGCTTGGGGTTGCCCCAGACGTCCGCGCGCGATGTGCGCCGCGTCCCATTCCTCCTACGCATTTCGCATCGTCGACGACGAAAGAAGCCATGTTGAGAGAAACAACGAAGACTTTGAATTATTACTGTACAGTTCGGATGGGAGGGCCCGGATTGACGCCCGCGCGCGATGTGAGCCACGTCCTATTCCTGCTACACATCTCGCATCGTCGACGACAAGAAAGGCCACGTTGAGAGAAACAACGACGACCTTGTACTGATCTTTTACAGCTAGGATGGGAAGGCCCGGATGGAACCCCTATCGGCCCGCCAGAGCATATTCGAATAAGGAATAAGGATAGGAGGAGAAACATGAGGAGGAGGAGGAGGAGGAGGAGGAGGAGGAGGACGAGGAGAAGGAGGAGGCGGAGGAGGAGGATGCGGAGGAGGAGGAGGAGGAGAGAGGAGGAGGAGGAGGAGAGGGGAGGAGGAGGAGGAGGAAGAGGAGGAGGAGAGGGGAGGAGGAGGGAGGAGGAGGAGGAGGAGGAGGAGGAGGAGAGGAGGAGGAGGGAGAGGAGGAGGAGAAAACACGCTCGCGACTCAGGAATGGGGGGGGGAGTGCGGGGGTGGGTCTACATGGAAGAGATGTCGCTGACCGCGGCTGACCTGCGGGAAATAACACGCATCCTGGCTCGGACCTCATCGCGAGCAGGGCATGGAGACGTGAGCCCATGAACACTGGCACCCATATAAGTAGAGAGCGGTGGGCCTCAGGCCCTCGCTGTGATTTTACCCCGTCTCTGGCCTGCCAGAAATCCTGCATCGGAGGAGAAGAGGAGCGGGAGGAGGAGGAGGAGGAGGAGGAGGAGGAGGAGGAAGAGGAGAAGGAGGAGGAGGAGGAGAAGGAGGAGCGACGGGAGATAGGAAGGTCGTGCTCATAGGGCCTTACCAGCTGTGCACCTCCGGCGCCCGTTGCCCCTATGATCAGATCGCCGCTGCATTGCTGAAAAGACCGGCGGCGGATTCCTGGCGAGGCAGGAGAGGCGTGGGAGAGTTGATGCGCTGAGGATTCGGCGGGAGCCCGCAAAGTAACTCCAGGCCTGGGAAGGCCCCGGAGCAGGAGACGAGGAGGAGCGCCCGCGGGAGGCAAGGGCGGCAGCGGCAGCGGCCGTCGGGGCCGCTACCGCCGCGTTGTTTCCCTGTTTCGCAGTCGAGCGGAGCTCCCGTCGCCGCGATGGAACTGAACCCTAAAGTCCGTCTGGAACGCCTGCCCGCGCGTGCGCGGGGCAGCTGGTCGCGCGGCGGCCAGGAGCCGCAGTGCTCGAGCGCGTGGGCGCCGACGGTCGGGCGAGAGTGCCGGGCGGCTCTCGCCAGAGGCGGGCCCTGCGCCGGGGGCCCGGTGCGACGGGCCGCTCGCGCCAGGCCCGCGTGGGGCGCGGGGGAACCTGGCCGCGCCAGAAGCCTCCGCGCGGGCCGCGGCCTGGGCGACCTCAAGTGGCGCCTGAGTCGGTCCAGACGGGTGGCGCAGCATGTGGTGCGCGGGGCGCAGCGCGGCTAACCTGGCCACCGTTCTGGGGAGCCCGCCCCCGCCCTGCGGCTCTGGCCTGGGAGCCTTGCTCCCAGGCTGGGGCGGCGCAGGTGGCGCGCGCGCGCGATGGAGCGCGTGGCCACGCAAGCTCTCGACCCCGCTCCGCGGCAGTCGGCTACTTTCAATTACGCCAATATTTTGCCGGTGAGATTCCTTGACGGACTGTGGGGGGACTTGTGGCCGGGGCGCGGGTCGCCCTAGTTGCCTTTTCAAGCGACAGCCCGCCTTCCTTGTCGGCATAATCTGCTGGAGAAGCTTTCCATCGTCAAAAGTGGGTGCTCGAGCTCGCGCCTGGGGCTGCTGGCACCATTGACCCTCGTGAGACTTGGGTAACCACCTTTCGTGTCGGCATAATCTGCTGGAGCGTTCTCCCCCGGCAGCGAAAACGGGCGCTGGAACCCGGGCGCCCGGCTGCTGCAGCCACTATCCATCGCAATCGTTGGGTGCTGGACCCCGCCCTGCTTTTGACGGCACAACCAGCTGGAACAATTTTCCCTCGTTAAAGAATTAGGCACAAAAGCCGCGCCCCGTTGACACGGGCTTAAACAAATAAGCGCGGTCGGGGGGGGGGTCCAGGGGGGGCGCCTGGCATTGTACTCACGCCTCGCCCACAAATGGGGCAGCTCGAACCCGAGCGCCAGCCCGACCCCGACCATGAGCCCGAGTGCCAGCTGCAGGCCGAGCCCGGGCCCGAGCCCCATTCTGAACGCGCGCGCTTCCGCTCTGCCAGCCATATTCACCTGACTGGCCATTTGAATGGATATCTGGCTGGTGAAATTTCTTGACGGACTGCGGGGGGGTTGGCGGCCGGGGCGCGGGGCGCCCTAGCTGTCTTGCCAGACGACAGCCAACCTGTCTTGTCAACATGATCTGCTGCAGCGGCTTTCCCTCTTCAAAACTGGATGCTCGAGCTCGCGCCCTGGGCTGCTGGAACCATTGCCCCTCGTAAGGAGTGGGTGCTGGGGGCAGCATCGCCTGTTGGAGCGACTGCCCCGAGTTCACACAACTGTGCGCTAGAACCTGCGCCGTGGGCCGCTGGAGACAATGCCCCTCGGAAGATTGGGCGCTGTAGCCAACCCTTCTTGACTGCGAAAACTGCTGGAGCTTGTGTCCTCTACAAGCATCCGGCGCTGGCCCCAAACCCCGAATAGGGTTATAAAGCATAACGAGGCCGAGGGGGGAGAGGATGGCTGCGGGGTCCAGGGGGGGGCCCTAGCATCGTAGTCACGCCTCTGCCTCACACGGGGGCAGTCTGCGCGCGCGTGCGCGCGTGCGCGAGCGTGCACGCGTGACCTGCGCGCGTGCGTTCGTGCGCGTTCGTGGGCGTGTGCGCGCGCGCGAGCTCGAGCCCGAGCGCAAGCGCGAGCCCGACCCCGGGCTCGACCGCTGGCCTGCGACCGAGCGTGGCCCGAGCCCTATTGTGAGCGCGTGCGCGTGCGCCTGCGCGCGCTCCGGATATGTTGACCCGCGCTCAAAAACGTCACTGCCAAGCATGTTAACCTGACTGGCTAGTTCGGGAAACATCTGGCTGGCGACATCTCTTGACGGACTGTGGAGGGATGCGTGGCTGGGGCGCCCCACATGTTTTTTTCAAAGGGCAACCCGCCTCTCGTCGAATTTGGTTGCTGGAGCCCACCCTTCTTGGGCTGCTGGAGCCGCTGCCCCTCGTAAGCCGTGGCTGCCGGAGCCCGCCCATCTCGGTGGCAGGCCTGTCTGGGCGACCTGCCAGCGTAGGCAGTGAATGCTGGAGCCCATGCCGTGGGCTGCTGCCCCTCGTGAGCCGCGGCTGCTGGGGCCCACCCTTCTCGGTGGCAGGTCTGTCTGGGCGACCTGCCAGCGTAAGCAGTGAGTGCTGGAGCCCATGCCGTGGGCTGCTGGAGCCGCTGTCCCTGGTGAAGACTGGGTGCTGGAAACCACCCTTCTTGACTGCGGGATCTGCTGGAACAACTCTCCCTCGTAAATGCTGGGCGCTGGAGCCACGCCCAGTCGAGGCCTCAAACAATGCAAACAAGGTCTGGCGGGGGGGCGGGGTACAGAGGGTGTTTTGGCATTGAAATTACGCCTCGTCTTCAAATAAGGGCAGTCTGCGTGTGCTCGCGCGCGCGCGTGCGCGGGCGCGCGTGCTCACGCGCGCGAGCCCGACCCCGAGCCCCAGCCCGAGCGCCAGCTTGAGACCGAGCCCAGGCCCGAGCCCCACTGTGAGCGCGTGCGCGCGCAAGCGCGTGCGTGCGCACGCGCTTCCGATGTTGACGCGCGCTCGAATCGACAATATTGAACTGACTGTAATGGGAGATTCGTCTGCAGGGCCATCTGACGCACAGCCGGCGCTCACCGATGTGCATGCTGTGCGACGTCGGCCACTCTCGCGCCAGCGTCCGGTGTGCGGCCCGGCGCGCCGCGCGGGACAGCTGGCGACGGAGCACCTCCCATCGTTGCTGCAAATCGCCCAGAATGGGACTCTGGGGCCACCCTGCGCGCAGGCGACGCTCGAGCGTCTCGTGGAACTCCTCTGGGCACAAGCGCGGGGTGGCAGCAGGCGCGTGGGCGCGCTGCACGCGAGCACGGCGGCCCGCAGCAGCAACCCTTCGGACCTCTTCCAGCGCCGCAACAGAGCCTGCTGCCAGGGCCTGCCGGCGC